AACTAGTTATCAAATGAATGAACAGAAGGGTTGACGAAGGGTTCGAACTGCGGTTGAAGAATTTGAGTCCATAGTCATCAAATAACGAGACGAAGTTGTTTAGAATATGCTCTTAATAGCACTTCTAGCACCCCATTACACAAACACAAATTAACTTCATGTTAGCTAAATATTTAGTTCGCATCATACTAACATATTAATCAAGCATCCAGAAGCCAATATAATAGTCTAGACAAACTGAGGTTTAGAAGGGCTATAGGGAGGCCTGGTTGTGGACCGGGCGGCGGGGGCGTTGATCCCCGGAATAACCTCCAGGTAGACTCCAGGTAGGGAAGCACTGGTTTGGTAGTAGGGTTGTGGGTGAGTGAAACGAATTCCTGCGTAGCATTATTGAAGCCAGAACTTTGGGTAGCTTTAAACAGGTTGAACAAGTATATGAGTGGGTGTGAGAGATTGTGAGTTCGACCTATGTAATATAGGCCGGTAAGCCTGCTGCAGCGCTTCACCTTTATGTTCTTATGTAGACCAAATAGTGCTCCCTCGCCCCGAGATACTCCCTTGCACCTCACCTCCTTCACATTACTTTATCAGTCCACGTTATGGGGCCTATCTTTTAAATATAAGGTACTTCTGCTAGCAGTGGGTCCCGCCACATGTGACGATGTCTGTAGCTGCTGCATCTATACTCTGGCTCTAGTATATGTCTTAATCTTGATGCCTCAATATTTGATTGTAAAAAGGAAAAGCCACCTGTCCAGGCCTTATTACTTTCCATTACCCAGGCTCTGTACATTTCCATGATCAGAGTAACAATATTAACGTATCCAAATCATCGTGAAGTTAATAGTTGTTTTAGGCTCAATTTATTTGTCAGGCTATTTTTGTGGTCAGCGAAGTTAACTTTATTTTATTCCCACATCAAAGTCGTTTATGTATATTATGACCAACGAACGTCCCAACAGTGACCCCTGGGGCACTCTTTCCGTAACTGCTTCTCCTGAACAATTCACCAAAAACTCGCACTTAGGAGAGGATCGTTTACGATAACATTATGGTCCACCCATCTGTCATTCTCTTCCATTTTTTTCCCTGCTCAGTTGTGATTTGACAATGGTCTAGGACGGACCAAAACGTCAACCTAACGTTCTTCTCCTAAATGCGGGTTTTTGATGAACTGGTTCTCCTGATTTCCTTACATTTTTTTTTAGTCTGTGTTGCATATCACTAAGCCGTTCCTCGACGTTGGAGAATCTACCGTGTGTTGCTACTTTCTTGTTGTACATGAATGGTATACAGTACCGACAAGATGAAAATTAGACACATGCAACATCTGGGTATCTTTATTGTGGACGTTTCGCTAACCTGGAGTTTACCTGGAGAGGGTTTCGGGGGTCAACGCCCCCGCGGCCCGGTCTGAGACCAGGCCTCAAGTGGCTTTATCAATACAAATTCAAGGATATAATTGGAGGAGAGTAAACATATATACAGAATATGAGGTACTCAGTTGAAGAGCACCAGCGTTGCTCTTCACCAAGACTGAGGAACTGATTACCTTCTCTTTTATATATAGTTATTCTGTCTTCCAATGATGTCCTTGAATTTATATTGATAAAACCACTGGTTAGCGAAACGTCTACAATAAAAATACCCAGATGTTGCACATGTGTGTACTTTTTTCTTCTGTGTTCAGTGGAACTATCAAAGTCTTCATTGTACATCACATAAACAACCTTTTGTGCAAATCTTGCACATGTCTTACTCATCTACTTGTCAGTATTGTATACCATTATTATTATAATCATAAACAACCTTGTACTACTTATCCAACCTATCCTCATTTTGCTACCTTCCTGTATTCATCCCTTTCGTAAATCTTGCAGAACTTCTACTTACATTCAGTATGTACCTGTGTGTTTTAATAGTTCTGACTTGTAATATTTCCTTTCCAACCCTAGGAGGCCCGGTTTGAGACCGAGCTTTGGGAAGATAATCCCCAGAACCGTTAACAGATATAATAATAATAATAATAATAATAATAATAATAATAATAATAATAATAATAATAATAATAATAATAATAATAATCCACACCAATCGACTAACAGACAACCGGTGTAAAGAAACACGCCCAATGTTTTCACCCTCACCGGGAATCGAACCCGGACTCTCACTGTGTGAAGCTATAGCTTTAGCCACTGGGCACCGTGACACTCAGCTTTATTTTCTTAGCCCTTCCATCTTTTCCTGTTATCATTATTTCAATTTAGGTTAATTTTGGTTACGTTAGGTTAAGTTACATAAACAGATTTACTGCCTGTGCTTCAAATTCTTCGAGACTACGGTGCGCTTCACCAACTCCAAGGCTGAGGGACTCATTACCTCATCTTTTGTATATAATTATACATTCTTCACATTATGTATTGATAAAGCCACTGGATGACGAAACAACTATAAATAAAGATACCCAGGTGTTGCACATGTGTCTAATTTCTCATAAATTTTTACGTAAACACAAATGAGCAAATTAAAACAAGGGAGACGCTACGTCTGGCACGGGTGGTGCCAGGACATAAGAACATAAGAACATAAAGGAGGAACACTGCAGGAGGCCTGTTGGCCCATACTAGGCAGGTCCTTTACAATTCATCCCACTAACAAAACATTTGCCCAACCCAATTTTCAATGCCACCCAAGAAATAAGCTCTCATGTGAAAGTCCCACTCAAATCCAATCCCTCCCACTCATGTACTTATCCAACCTAAATTTGAAACTACCCAAAGTCCTAGCCTCAATAACCCAACTAGGTAGACTGTTCCACTCATCAACTACCCTATTTCCAAACCAATACTTTCCTATGTCCTTTCTAAATCTAAACTTATCTAATTTAAAACCATTACTGCGGGTTCTCTCTTGGAGAGACATCCTCAAGACCTTATTAATATCCCCTTTATTAATACCTATCTTCCACTTATACACTTCGATCAGGTCTCCCCTCATTCTTCGTCTAACAAGTGAGTGTAACTTAAGAGTCTTCAATCTTTCTTCATAAGGAAGATTTCTAATGCTATGTATTAATTTAGTCATCCTACGCTGAATGTTTTCTAACGAATTTATGTCCATTCTGTAATATGGAGACCAGAACTGAGCTGCATAATCTAGGTGAGGCCTTACTAATGATGTATAAAGCTGCAGTATGACCTCTGGACTTCTGTTGCTTACACTTCTTGATATAAATCCCAGTAATCTATTTGCCTTATTACGTACGCTTAGGCATTGCTGTCTTGGTTTAAGGTTGCTGCTCACCATAACCCACAAGTCCTTTTCGCAATCCGTATGGCTAAGTTCTACATCATTTAACTTATAAGTACTAGGGTTATGGGCACTCCCAAGCTTCAGAACCTTGCATTTATCTACATTGAACTGCATCTGCCACTTTTCTGACCAAGAATAGAGTTCCATAACATCTACGTTTGAATCAATTATCCTACCTATCTTTGTGTCATCGGCGAATTTGCTCATATCACTAGTAATTCCCTCATCAAGATCATTGATATATATTATAAAGAACAACGGGCCCAAGACTGATCCCTGTGGAACGCCACTTGTTACAGATCCCCACTCGGATTTAACCCCATTTATAGACAAGCTTCAGTATCGTGGTTCACTGTTTCAAATACCTCACTGACGAATTCCAGTAATTTTTTCACGGAGAAACTCTCTCTTGTGAAGTCCTGTTGTGACTCGCTGATCAAATTATATTGATCAAAGCGGCTCTGGATTACATCCGTTATTATTGCACAGAAATAATGGAGCACTGGAACCCGCAGTGGGTTCTTTCAGGTCATAGAGAAACTTGGATGAACATACATAGGGAACGTTTTTATAGCTGCACAGGGTTTACACTTTTACACATCTAACCTGTCTCTGCACCTCACTGTGCTCCCTATATTAAGGTTTCTCTGACTTCAAAAAGCCCAGTTTATGGGCGAAACTTCAATAAATGGAAGCGTCTCGCCATAAGTGGCTTCTAATTACGCTGCCTTTGTGTGTTTCCATCGTGTCGGTATTATACTACAGGAGGGCCCCATTTTACAGCACTTAGCTTTACAGCATTTCACTAATACAGCGATTTTCAGTTATATCCATTCTTCGTTGATTCATACTTCTTACAATAAATATATTCAATACTAACTATAAGGTAAGGACGAAAATATTTTAATCTAACTAATATGTGTACTGTATATGTAATTTTTAGCCCTAGCTATATTGATGCCTTAATATATGATAGTGTAAACATGTTATCAGGCTTTTATTTTCATTTGAAAGTGAAAAAAAGTGATTCACTTTACAGCAATTTTAACTTTACAGCAGTAGCCCAGCACCTTACCTGCTGTATAAGCGGGGCCTGCCTGTATTTCTCTATATTGGCCCATGCTGGGCATGGCCAATACACCCACGTTCACTTACATATGTATCTAACCCATTTTTAAATATACAACTTCTTGTTTTAATGACTGTGCTTGGGCGTTTATTCCACTCCTATTGCCAACTAAGCTTCAAATAGTTTGTCTTTTATTAGGAAGTATATACTAGTGTGCAGGGTGAAGCTGGAGTTATTTATGGGACAGAATTTTCAGTTGATGTGTTGGCTTGATTCTCCCGTGTCTGCTGAGAGCACGCTTACCAAATGTGAGTCAGTTGAGGCATGAATGATCGCTGATTGAGCGATGTCCTTGAGAAGGGTACAGCCAGTGAAGCTGATTCTCTCTCTCTCTCTCTCTCTCTCTCTCTCTCTCTCTCTCTCTCTCCTCTCTCTCTCTCTCTCTCTCTCTCTCTCTGGCATTCGCTCTCTTGCTCATAATGTTCTCCCTTGTTATGTTGTAGTTTACGTTATCTTTCTAAATGTTTCTTAATAATGTTTTTATACAGAGTGACGTCTCTTGTTCTTTGCCTCTTTGATATCTCCCTCATTCCAGTAGCAATTTTTATGTTATCCATAGACTGCAGCCAAGAGTTCTGTCGATCACGCCAGGAACCGGAAGGCCTGGTCTAGGACCGGGACGCGGGGGCGGTGATCCTCCTAAGCGACTACAAGGTAACTTACAGGAGCAGATATACGCTGGCTTGTATTTATGTATACGCAGACTTTGTGGATAACCTGTGGGAAGCTCCTCCTCCTTCTTCTTCTCCTTCTTCTCCCCTCCTTCATCATACCTCGCCTTTGTTTAACCCTTCCTGTTTTTATTTTCTGTCATCAGGCTCAGAGCGCTCTTTGTCTCTCAAGCACGCAGGAACTCACTCATGCACTCACACTCAATTTCATGTACACACTCTCAGTTTTATGTGTGCACACTCACACTAAATCTCATGTATATACGCTTATGCACAGACAATCACGCATACACTCGTGCACATACATTCGTGCACTCATGCACGTACGTATATGCATACATTCATGCACACCCTTTCATACACATATTGCCCATATATTCACGAATACTAACACTCATGCACACACCTGACACTCGAAAAGATGGATGTAACTTGGACCTGCCTAGCTTAGGCCAATAGGTGACTTGGACCTGCCTAGCTTAGGCCAATGGGTGACTTGGACCTGCCTAGCTTAGGCCAGTAGGTGACTTGGACCTGCCTAGCTTAGGCCAGTAGGCCTGCTGCAGTGATTCTTCTTTTTTATGCTCTTATTTTTGCAACTAGGCTGGTACCAGAACTGAAAGGAATGTATTATGAGAAGTTGAAGGTACTGAACTTGACGACCTTGGTGGAGAGAAAGACCAGGGAAAACATGATGTAAATGATTTTGAAAACCGACAAGTTGAAGAATGAGATTCATGTGCAGCATTTAGGAATCTTGATTGCGGAAACGTTTCGCCAGTCAGTGGCTTCTTCAGTCCGGTGGAAGATGAGGAGTAGTTTGAGGTCATCGGTCCCCCGGCCTGGAGCCAATGTGTTCAGTCTATGAATTTTGACAAAAGCATTTGCACGAAGTAGCTTATAAGTCTTACTGAGAAGCAGGGAGTGAGAAAGTTAGATAATGAGAAAGGCACATTCTGTCACTGTATGTTAGAATGTAACCCACGTATAGCAGTAATGTGCGGGTCCTCTAGCTTGGTATTAGTTCTGCTCACATAATCTTCAACTCCTCCGTTTATCTACTCACCTGTTTGTGGTTGCAGGGGTCGATCCACAGCTCCCGGCCCCGCCTCTTCGCTGGTCGCTAATGGGTCACTCTTCCTGCTCCATGCGCTTTATCATACCTCTTCTTAATGCTATGTATGCATCCTGTCTCCACTACATCACATCCCAAACTCTTCCACTTCCTGACAGCTTCCAACTGTGTCCCCTTGTTACTGTGTCCCATCTCTGGAACCTCCTGTCTCTCTCCACCTTGTCGATTCTTCTCAGTATTTAATATGTCGTTATCATATCCCCCCTGTCTCTCCTGTCTTCCCGTGTGTGTGTGTGTGTGTACTCACCTAGTTGAGGTTGCAGGGGTCGAGTCCAAGCTCCTGGCCCCTCCTCTTCACTGTGTGTGTGTGTTCACCTAATTGTGCCCACCTAATTGTGGTTTCAGGGGTCGATTCAAAGCTCCTGTGTGTGTGTGTGTGTGTGTGTGTGTGTGTGTGTGTGTGTGTGTGTGTGTGTGTGTGTGTGTGTGTGTGTGTGTGGTGTAGTGTTTCCCCTTACACGCCTGCAACAAGAAGAGCTGGTGGCGTCATGATGTTGAGTGGTGGTGGTGCGTCGTCGTCCACTTCCGTGTTGTAAGATACTCTCTCTGAAGCAGTGAGAGCAGTGGAACAGCAAGGAAACTGCCAAGCTGTAAGTGGGTGAGAGAGAGTGGAGGAAGGAGGCGGCTTTGATGTGAGAGGTAGTGTTCCCCTCCTCCCAGGGTGTCGGCTGATGCAACCCGAGTTCCCCCGGGCTGTTTCTGGTGATACATCCAGAGTTCCCCACCCAGGCTGTCTGGTGATACAGCCTCCGCCTGGTGCAGTTGTGATGGCTGGGGGTAGCTAGAGGAGAGAGGTGTGGGGCGTGTTAGGGCTCACTGTCGCTCGCCAGAATACTGGGACTGTCATAAAGCTGAAAGTAGTGTGATGTGTTCACCGGTGGGAGGCAGGAAGGTCGCTAAGGTCCAAAGTTCCTCACCCCGCCCACCAGGAGCACGCTACTACGCTCCCCGCCATAACCGCCCTTATGTTAGGAAGAACCAAGGAACATAGTTGATCGTTCCGGTGTATAGGGTATGTGTACTTACCTGTTTGTACCCGTTTGTATAGTTATGTACCACCGGGTGTACTCCTCCAGTTGTACTCGCCTAATTGTATACAAAACTCAAGAACATCGTCAAATAGCAGATAAGGAACACGTGAAAGATCTGGGAGTAATTATATCTGCTGACCTTTCTTTCAACGAACACAATAAGGAAAATGTCGGGGTGGATAATGTGAACTTTTAAAACAAGGGAAATAGTGCTAGTAGACACTCGTCAAATAGCTTGTGCTCTCTCATTTAGAGTATTGTTCAGTGTTGAGGGCTCCTTTCAGGTTAGGAAAGATGTCAGAGCTGGAACAGATACAGAGAAATGTCTGACGTTATATATACTTGGAAGGTACTTGAGGACCTAGTCTTAAGTTTAAACACTACCATAACATACTGGAGTAAAGTAAAAGGACACCAGTGCAACTAATGTGACATTTATTGTGGCAACGTTTCGCTCTCCAGGAGCTTTATCAAGCCATTACAAACAATACATGGACACAGAGGGTATATAAAGGCCCAGGGTGAGGTGTAATACTAGTGAGGTACCATTTCGATGTTCACTAGTGGTAGTAGTACTACTACTACTACTACTACTACTACTACTACTACTACTACTACTAGTGAACATCGAAATGGTACCTCACTAGTATTACACCTCACTCTGGGCCTTTATATACCCTCTGTGTCCATGTATTGTTTGTAATGGCTTGATAAAGCTCCTGGAGAGCGAAACGTTGCCACAATAAATGTCACATTAGTTGCACTTGTGTCCTTTTACTTTACATATTGTCGGTAATTCTACCAACTTTATTACATACTGGAGTAAGAGATATGGGAGAAAATGTACAATAAACCCAATGAAAAGCAGGGTCGCCATGGATACAATGAGAGAACACTGTATCAACATCCGTTGTCCCAGGCTATTCAACATCTTACCAGAAGAAATCAGAAATACTGGCGGGACAAGTGTAGAAATGACGGATCCTGGTCGCAGACCGAGCCGCGGGGGCGTTGACCCCCGAAACCCTCTTCAGGTATGCTCCAGGAAACTGAACAGGTATCTTCAAGTGCCAGATTAGAAAGGCTGTGAAGGATATGTGAGCCAGCGGGCCTCCAGCAGCAACAATCTAGTTGATCAGGCAGACAGCAGACAAGCCTGGCCCAAGGCCGGGCTGTGGTATTAAGAAAACTGGAAGTCCATTAGTGGGGTGCATTAAAACACCCCACTGGTGGGGTTGGAGGTTGGGCGAGAGGCGAGGCTTGGAGCTCAGCGCTGGTGCTCGCTCGTAAAGCTGAGACGTGTGTCAAAAGGCTGGATCCTGTGTGTCATAGGAGAGGCTAGGGCCCCAGGGAAGGCCCAGGGCACGTACCTCAGTACTAGTGTAAGGTTTGGCAACATTCCCTCAATAGAAACATTGAAACACTGGAAATCATTATTGGTGTTGGGAATGCGAGAGTTGAGAGTGAGGGTGAGAGAGCGGGTGGCGGTGGTGTTGTTGCACCGGTTGCTTGTGCATGCTTGCTCGGGTTACTGGCACCTTAGCTCACTGCAACTGTGATTCTCATGCAGCCGACAGCAGCAGCAGCGGCGTTGGTGGGGGGGGGGGTGTTGCGGTGGTGGCGGTAGTGATAGTGTATAGTGAAGGGAAACTATGGAAAAAGAGAAATATGAGAGGAAGGAGGAAGAAGAGGTGGAAGTGGAATGGAAGATAAATATGACATGTACTCTCAGCAGAAGCAGAGATAAAGGAGGAAGAAAAATAAAGGAATATGCGTAGGAGAAAAGAAGAGCAAATGCGACATATACTTGCAGAAGTAGAAAGAAAGGGAAGAAAAGTTTGGAAGATTGAGGGAGGATAAATGCTTCTCCTACTTGCAAAAGAAAAGAAAAGGAAAGCAAGGTAAAAGCACCTCATATTGCAAAAGAGAATGGTTAGAAAGAGGACGAGAAGAAGGGAGGGAGGGAGGGGGAAATGGGACTGGTACTGGCAGCATTGATTACCAGCAAGCGAGGTGAGGAACCATGGCACCAGCATATGAACCTTGGCTGCTGTTGTCTCCAACATAACTTATTACGTGTGGGTGGCGCAGATGGCGTGTTAGTGACGTGTGGATGGTGGCGTGTTAGTTACGTGGATGGTTACGTGTTAGTGACGTGTATGGTGAAGTGTAGATGACGTATGCTCTCACTAACATTATTGCCACCAACGACTCCATTACCATCACTTCCACTAAATTGCCACCACAGCTATCACCTCAAATATTATTACCGCCACTATTACCCATATTACTAAGTTACCACCACCAATACCGCTACCACGGCTGAGACAACAACTATCACTATTACTACCACTACTAACACCGGTAACACTATTATTAGCATGACCACTACAGTGACTCTTAATACTAATTCAATTAACTCAGCATCATAGGGACAGTATTGGGCAGTGCCACTCATCCTTTGAGTGTACACACCGCAATAAACACAGGAGCTGTGAATCGACCCCTGCAACCACATGTAGGTGAGTACAGTATTGGGGAGTGACACTAATCCTGCGTGAACACACCACTATAATGACAGTTTTGTAGATAAATGGTTCAGAGAACCGACATGTTGATAAATTAGACACATGTGCAACTCTTGGGTATCTTTATTGAGGAAACGTTTCGCCACACAGTGGCTTCATCAGTCCATACAAAGGAGAATCTTGTTAGGTAAGACACATATGCAACAGTTAGGTATCTTTATTATGAAACGTTTCGCCTACACAGTAGGCTTCTTCAGTCAAGTACAGAAAAGTTGATAGAAGCAGAAGATACTATGGAACAATG